GTTTTTGTTATCCAAGAAGGTCGAAAGAAGAAGAAAAAAAAAAAGAAAAAAAAAGAAAAGAAAAGAAAAGAAAATTGTGTAGAGATCAGAGACTTGTGTAATGGTAATCGTATAAAAAAACTCGGTCTACCGTTTGCTTCTATTTGAAGATAACATCGGAGAGCAATTCGATTTCGCTGAGAGTGAACAAATTGGGGCTGCAGGCCGTCTAGCCGAAGCTTTGAGGCGCCTTTCACTAGTTTTGCCACGTAGCTGCCATGGAAAATGTCATGCTTCCCCTCCTTATGTTCGAGGTATCTAGAATATTATCCATCATCTGACATTCATCTGTGTGAGCATAATCGATGTTGAAATGTTAGCGCGAGTCGGAAACCGGGCGAAAATCGAATTTGCCTTAGCGATTAACTGTTCTTTGTACACACTTCGTTTCAGCTTAATTTTTCTCTTAATCGTGTTTTTCTTCTCTTTCTACACTTCTTTTCAATAACTCTTTCTCTTTTCCTCGCTCTTTCTCTGTCTTTCTCTCTCTCTCTATATATATACATATCTCGCTTTTTAACTTTTTCTCTTTTCGCGTCTGTCGCTGTTTATTATTTTTTTCATTCCTTTTTCTCGACTCTTTGATGGTCGAAAAAGAAAATAGAAAATAGAAAAGTTGTTGCCATTGAAGTGTTTCCATTTTTTATTTTTTTACCTTCGCCTTTTCGGTACTAGCAGAAGATTGAGATATTAATGGCCAAGCAATAGATGTGATTTTTGTTTCATTCATGGAGCTAAAAAGATGTTATTTCAGCTGAATAATCTGACATTCTACGAAAATAGTATGGAAAACGTAGAAGTTATATCGAATGTATATTTAAGCTAAGTCTATGCTCAGATCTAGTGAAACTGGGGTATAATGTGACGCAAAAAGATTGTGTTAAAGCTATTTTTTTTCTTTTTTTTTTTTTTTCGTTTTTTATTATTATTATTATACGTTTTAAAACTAAAACGAAATTGAAATATAATTTTACGGGTCAATCTCTTATGAAAGAATCTCTTTGAGTATAGTTTTAATATAAAATTTCTTCTAATTTCGATTTTAAATCTTCTTGATGAAAGGAAACTGAACGTTTAATATCATGCTATTTGACATTTTTGTTTTTTTTAAAAAAAAAAGGTAAATGCGCTTTTTACTTTAATTTCGACGCTTTACATCTTAGGTTGGTTCTGACCTTTTTCCTCGTTAACGTGTCGATAGTTCGAGAATCGCTTTAAACCATTAGTTCACGCGATCCGAATTTTTTCAAGGTCCGGTTGTATCAAGTTTAAGTGATAAACAATGTCGCTCGATTAATGATCGGATGAGAGATGCTCTCTCAATATAATATACTGCGTAAAAATATAATTTATTGAAATTTATCTTGAAATTTTCATAAAACTTTCAATTCCTTTTTCCAAATTTATTTGGTAGTATTGTTTTTAATTTTTACACTTTTTGATTTTGATAGAACTTTCGTGTGCCAATTTTTATCAATGCAGTACCGAAGAGGTTAACAACACGGTTTAATTTTACGATATAATACGATATTTATATTTTATAATGCTGCTTTTTTAAAACCTTGTTTAAAGTATTAATTCGAGGCACTGCAAAAAATGCGCTTGCTTTTATTGTATGAACTTGTTATGCTTAAAATGACGTAAGAACATTCGCTTATAAATCAAATACCAAAGTACAATGAATTTTTTACTGAATATAACGAACATTATTATTAGATATCTATCTAATCTACCTCAAGTATTTCAATTCATTCGTCTTACGTCATTATAAAAATAAAAAATTTGTTTCACAAGTATCGTAAATTGGGACAACGCCATAGATGAGTATTTTTTTCAATATTTAAAAAAATAATAACAATTACAATATCTCTAATCCATTTAATCTTGCAAAAAATAAAATCTTCAAAATTTTTATTTCATCGTTTTTTTTTTCCCCCTTCAAGATTTTTTCATGGACAACATTATTTATTTATACTGTTAATCAATATTTTAAAGTGAATAAATCTTCGTGTTTATATTTAAAAAAAAAATCTCTTGTCTCTGGCGTGCAAATATTAAAAACATGTTGTTTGACTAAAAATGTTGATTTTTTAAGGAATATACATATATATTACAATGACGCACAATGAATAGATTAAAAATTTGCTCGTTAGAACACCGAATGGAGAATAAACTGATTTAAAATATTCGAGCACGTTTTATAAATTTAACACGATTTATCATTATAGATATAACTCTGTCAACTTTAATTCCATTTTACGGATCAATGCACAGTAAAATTAAACAACTCAAAGTTAACCCCACCCTTCTGAGACATAATTTTCACTTAGCTTATTAATCAATACATCTGCCATCCTACCTACTGCTAATGGAATAATAACTTGCAAAAAAAAGGAGGGGGGGAAGAGAAATAACGATAAAACCAACAAAATGTTCTCTACAAAGTTTGAAAAAAATTTCTTTAAAATTAATCCTCCCTTGATAAGTTCAATATTTCAATAATGTTTTAAAAACATTTCAATAGAAATATTACCTTCGATACGTAAGATCCCGTGCCGATTTACGCTAGGGACGCAATCTTTTATAAGAAATTAAAAAGAAAAATCGCACCTCGCGTGTCACGTTGATCGTCTCTCTATGAATGTTTGTTATTTCGTTATAACATTTTACGTTTATAGCATGTGCGTATGTGTTGCTTCTCGGTGCATGTACTGTCACACTCAGGCCGCTGGATGCTATGATGAGTTACCGTGACGCTTGTCACACCACTATGCGGTGAAAATGAAGTTGCAAGAATGCTACTGTGAAAATAAATCTTCCTATCATGTGTGTTCTGCAAACCCATCGTGCCCGATGGTAAGAGGTGTCACTTTATTATACTTCGAATTTTTTAAGTGAACGAAAATTGTTTTAAGTACGACATTACGTAACGTTGTAGCGCAGTATATGTAACACCTTGTAGATCTTTCCGTCACTATCTTCCTTCTCTTACGATCTTAGTACATATCATATCGGTATGTGCCATCATTGTAGTATTATCTCATCGAACAATGCATCTCGTAGAAGCGTCTGAAATATTTGGTGCATATAATAGTATAAATTATTAATTTTTACTATTTCGATTTTTTTTTGTTTCGATTTAAATATTAATTGTAACATGTGTATCTCCATATTTCTTTATTTTAAATAATTCGATTAATAGTAGAAAATATTTTAGAAAAAAAAAAGTTTAACATTTTTATCTAATTAATTTATCACAGTGTCTTAATGCGAATGATAATCATATATCATTTCGCAAAATTATGTACCAAAGTTTCAGAATATCTTACATTGTTGATCTTAACCGATATTATATAATCCAAACCACTATGTGTCGATATCAAATTGATTTAGTTCCGTATACTAGCGCTTCAATAATAACAATATATTACTGTAGTGTATATCACATCCGATGCAAATCGGTCCAATCCGGATGACACGTTTGATCCATTCATATCTCCGTACTTACGAATTCCCTTACGTAAAAAAAAAGAACAACTTTGAACCCCAATTTTGAAAGTGTCATAGCTATATTTTCTATAGATGCTTTCCATTATTACACCATTAATGTTATCTGAGTAATGATTGCCAAGCAAGTATTATAATATATATATATACATATATCTTGCATCTTTTTTCTTTCTTTTTTTCAAATGGTAGTACGTACAAAGAAACAATACGATGCATTTATCTTACACCTTATATATACATACGTATATAAGTAATATCACGATGCGCTGTACGATGGCTATTATATATAAAATGGAAATTTCAGTACCTCGGGCGATCCTGAGAACTACAAGAACGATTCACGGTTTGTTTTCCAGCACGAAGCATATCGGAAGAGTTCAGCAGCGGGGATGCAAGGTATCGTGACAATGGCGAGTCAGGACCGGGTAGCGCGCATGGTCGTGATCCGCGTTCTCCAAAGGAGAAAGAAGACAAAGAAAGAGGTGACGAAGGTATTTCAATATATTTCACGCGGTTGACCGTCCATGTTCGATCTGTTCATCGATCTCGTTTTCCCTGCCCGCAGAGATGATCAAGGTGTACGACGGCAACAATTCCCTGAGAAGGCGAATATTTCGCGTGATCACGGTGCCCCGGCAAGCCACCACTGAACAAGTCCTGACGTCGGCGCTTCGTGCATTTCACATCACGAAAGATCCTAGTACGTGTTGCCATCTGTTGTTTCATGTTCAATTTTAGATCGCAGCGTGGTCGATTGTCACGTGTTTGAACAAAGATTAAATTTGTAATATTTGTAAATGTGTGTAGACAGTTTGTGGATAGTTTTGTAATTATTGTTTCTTTTTCTTTTTTTTTCATCGTTGTTTAGTTAGAAATTTATTTATTTAGATTTGGGCGAATGGAATAACGCTTAATAACGGTAAGAATTGAAACGCTAAGGAGGACTTAGTCTTTTTAGAATAAATTTGCACGCATACGTATAGGTTTCGTCAATAGCATTTACGTGAACTCAATCTGTCGGATGTATCTATACGCCCACAGTAACAAAACAGTTGACCATTATATTTTACTCCTACGTAAAGATCAAACTGACAACTGCATACTGAATAGTTTTGTATCAATGGAATTGTTCTTCGTTTCATGCTACATCTCTCTCTCTCTC